CGATTGAACTCAGGGACTTGGTTTTCTGAGATTTGGGTTTTCCAGAGACCCTCGTTTCAGAAGTTTCGATAGAACTTTTGTATACACCACATGAGATCGGAAATTGTTTCGGCTATTCAAATCTTTTTTCAAATTTGATCTAGCTATTATGGTCGCCGAGCAAAATGAAAAATAAAGGTGCACGAATAATTTCTGGACCCACTGTATGTTTAAACGGCGAAGTATTTAACACACAAAACCCGGTGCCAAGCTACGTTAAGTTTCCTGTTAACAGACATTGTAGAGCTTTTCAAGACGCATCGAATGATGTATGAATGATTAGAGATCCTCTATAGTTTCATAGAAAAAAGTGACAAACAGTTCCAAAAAAAGTATCGATATACAAGTAAAATAATGACATGTTCAAAAGTAATTATCAAATATTCTATATTGGGGCTATTTTTATTTTTCTCAAACTTAGACCATTTTGTAGAGCAAATCATGAGAAAATTTTCTGTTATAGTCGTCATCTTGTCCAAGTTGTTATTAGTGCGAAAATCAACTTGAAATTTATGAAAAATAACCATATAATAGTATGTTTTCTATATTTTCTTATATTTGTGAGTCTGGCAGCCCTTAACGACAACAACTTGAGAATGATATATTTATACCATTTTGTAGAGCACGAAAAACTGCGTCGATCTACACTATTAGTTTTCATATTAGGTTTACAAAAGAAAAAATGATGGGTACCATAGTTATTATCTAGAATACTAAAAAGTGATATACCCCCAAGACTATTTGATCTTCGAAAATTTCTTTTTACATTCGACGAAAATCAAAATAAATATCCAGAAATGTGCAGAATTTCATGTTCCATCTTTTTAGCCTATTGAAAGTGAGACATAGGGGGGGTGGCAGATTTACGGTCTTATCTGGCGGGGTCCTTTCGATGCAAGTGTGATGCTGTTTTCTTGTAGAAGCCCACAAACTTTTCTACATGGAATCTTTTCAAAATTTATTTTCTTACTCAATTTCATGTGCTGACCATGAATGTCATAATTATTATGATTGAGAGCAATTACATAATTGATTTTTATGAGTCAATAGTTCTAACCTAATTAGCAGAGACCCATTCTATTGCTTAGAAATAATCGGCTTTTTCATATAAGCGTTCCCTTAAGATACTATAGTTTAGCAAAAATTTAATAAGGTCGCTAATGATATATTTTTCTTGCTTAATACGTTTAATCAATTTTTTCTTCCTAAAAGACTGAAAAAAGAACATATGCACAGGTAATTTAAAGCGTCACTTCGTGTTCGATTCTTCTAAAGTTATGTTTATAGATATAATCAGAATATTAAGAAATAAAAATCGAAAAAAAAAAAAATCACTCATCCATACATACAGATGTACTTGTATAAATTTTTCTATTGATGTAGAAGAACAGACAGACAAGAAGATGTATAACAGCAATAATAGGGCGTTACTTCGTGCTCCTCCAAAATTGACAATTTTAAAATTTTTCAAGAAAGTGTTGAATGATTGGAGTCTAGATTATTCATCAATGTTAGCCTATACATTTATGATTTCTCTGTTGCCTATTGCTGTGACTGTATTTGGTGTAATCGCGTTTGTTCCAAATTTACGAGCTGATGTAAAACAAAAAATTCTTGAAGCTTTTCCGGATAATTCTACTCGAGCGTCGATTCAACAAGTTTTAGATTTAGCAAGTAATCAATTGCGTCGTGACGCTGGTGGACTATTGGCTCTGGGTATTGTTTTCACAATATTTAGTACTTCGCGTTTATTTGTATTGATTGACAATGTAATGCAAATTATTTACCGTCTAGAGCAGCGTGGATTTATAAAGCAAAATCTAGTTGCGATTGGAATGGTATTTGTATTTATTTTATTAATTGTACTGATCATTGCTGCTGCTTCAGCTCCTTCGTTTCTTCTTGCGCCTGTTCATCAAGCAGCCGGTCGTTTTGGCATTTATATAGCTGGAATCGTGACTAGTCTATTACTCTCATTTATATTATTTGAAGTAATTTATTTGATTATGCCAAATAAAAAAATAAAAATTAAACAAACTTGGTGTGGTTCACTAGTGGCAGCAGTCCTATTCGAAATTTTTATTATTTTATTTCCACTCTACGTTCGACACTTTATGACAAATTATGTCGGATATGTAGGTCTAGTTATTGTTCTTCTACTGTTCTTCTATTATTTTGCCGTTATTCTTTTACTGGGTTCACAAATTAACGCTTACTGGTTCGAACGAATTCAACCGTTTCCCGACGCTCAAGCGACATTCATTAGTAAAATGTTTAAGTTATATGAAATGAGAAGTGGACAACGAAAGTGAATGGAAAATTAGCAATCAATGTTGATATAATGATGGCGTTTTTTGCCAAATCAATACGTAGCACTACTATCTATTTCAAAATACAATAGTCCCCGACATTTTATTTTGAAATGGATAGTAGAATCAAGTCTCAAAGAGAAAATTTTTTTTGCTTTTTCATTGATCTCTGTGAGTGATGATCAGTGCTGAGAATCGATTTCAACTTTTAGTCATAACTATGCAGTGGGCATCATCGAAAAATGGCCCGTTCTTCGACATTTTCAGCACTATCCTGGACAAAATCCTACGCACTTCTTGTCGATTTCCTACTAGGATCTTACAGGATCCTAGCATTTAGGATCCACGTAATAACTTCCGAGCAGCATCCTACTAGGATTTTGCTTAAGTTTGTTTTAGATCCTAATAGAATCTTGGAAAATCCTAGGACTTTCGGGTATACCATTTGAGGGTTTTGTATCGTTACCAAACTGATTTGGTTTTTTTTAAAATACTTTTTGGAAAAGGGGTTTTTGTCAATGCCACAAAACCCTAAAGGTATTCTGTTTTCGTTACTAAACCCAAAGGGTTAATATATAAACCGTTTTACTATTTTAGAAAACCAAAAGGGTTTTTCATTATTGCTGCTAAATCCCAAAGGTTTTCAATTCAACTCCTAAACTATTTTAGTCAAGAACTAAATAATGTACCTAATGTACCTAATGTACCGTGAATAGAATACCTTTAGAGTTTTGTGACATTAATAAAAAACCCTTTATTTTCTCAAAATACCTTTTACATTAGTACAATTTGTTCTCTCATTAGTTCTCTTTTTCTGTTCTAGTAGAACAGAAAAACTGATGAAGCAACGTCTTTTCCTGCTTCTCACTTTACCCGACATAAGAAGTGAGTATTGTCGTTTCAGAAAAAGCTTCCTTAGCTTAATCTTTCTCCCATTATTATACTTATTCGCTTCCCCAGGTCCAATTTGACGACTGCCGTAAACGACCGTATACAGTCCTATACGACCGCCGTAAATCACCGTTTGCAGTCGTATTTGCATCGTAAACGGCCGTATACGGTGCAAATACGGCAGTAAACGACCGTAACTACACCGTAAATACGCCGGTCGTTTTACGGCGGTAACTGCGCCGTGACCGTTTACGGTCAGTTTAGAAAAAATTATTTTTCGTTTCCAGCATCTTCTACAGAAGATGTATACAGAGCTTCAGGACGCCACCCATGCATTGTATTGTCTTGAATATCACTTACCACTCACATACATACAATTATAATTATTTGCCAGAATTGAGATTCGAACACAGGTTTCCAGAACTATAAATCCAGCACATTCTGGTTATACCATATTGCTTGTAAACAAAAGTGTGAATTTGCTATTCATGTTTGCAATAAATACCATGAATTTCCACGCGTGGGCTCGCATGTATGAAAATACGTTATCACAGCTTCCGTCAAACTCCCATATATAGTACAGTAATCATAGTTTGCTGAAGTGGACATAAATTGTAAGGTGCCGCCGAGAGATTGGCCACCAATTGGCCGTTAACAGCCTGTTTACTGGCCGGTTTTTGCTGTTTTGAGAACGTTAACGCGCCGTTTTTTGTGCCGTTAACTAGACGTTAACCGCTTTCTTGGACCTGGGTAGTTGATCAAAAGAACACTTTGATGCCATTTTGATCACATAAAGAACACTATTATTGTTTTCAAAAAGCAATGTCCCTGACTAAATTTTGAATAACTCCCCCATAGGAAGAGATATCGATCTCTGGTTTTCGCAGATCGCCAGCCAACACTTTTTTGCATATAGCCATGCAAAAACACTCTCAAAAAATAAATCTTTTTAGTCGGTTTTTTAACCGACTAAAAAAGTCGGTTTTTCCAAGAGGATCTTTGGAAAACCACCTCCATTCTCGGAAAACTAAGATACAATGTTAGTAATCTTTTTGCATGCGTAGATAGTCCAGACGTTACTCTACTAAATTATGCAGGTCCCGGCTCTCCAGCTATCGTCGTTCGGACAGGGCTGGCACGTGTCTATCTCCAAGCAGACATCTCTGGGAGTCTCGAAATGCTATGGGATATAGGTAATCGACTACGCGGAGCATAGTGGCAACATTTGTTTTTGTGTAGAAATGAATATAACTTCGCTAGAGGCATTGTTGTGAAAAACCGGTTTTCCGCCTGTTACTAGCAAACATTAAAATCCTTATATCTCGATCAAATCTCATACTGACTTAAGGAAATTTTCAGGAAAGGCTTAAAAGGTGCCATATGTTGTTGACCACGCCGTAAAAGTGATTCAGCAGAACA